TTAATAGCAGAGTAACACCTAGGAGCACATGAAAACTGAATGAAAATGATGGGGCACCCAAAGGGTAAAGAACGCATTTACAAATTATTCACAAGCCATGAAACTGTTAGAAGTCCGAAAAATTACTGAAGTATATAAGAATGGCATGTTCATATCCTTCCGGTACTGATCTAGATTTAGGATATTACCTTTGGCCTAGGAGTTCAAGTGACATTGCTGGATGCTCCTGGTTATATAGTTCTGGATGAAGCCATGTAGTTTCCATGGCCATGCCCTACCTGAACCTGTCAATGTGCTAAATAGAATTGATTGTAGCAAAATGCTGGCTGGCATAAATTTGCTAGGTGATGTCTTCAGTCTGCCAAGCATAAAAACATATATTAAAAAACCTCAATGTGTAGATGATTATGCAAACATGAAGTATAACTCACATTCAGATCCAGTCTCATAGGTGCTTTCCGGAGCCTTCGGCAGGAAGGCAACAGCCAACAGTACTCTAAAACTGAAAACCACACAGTGTGCATAAATCATTATATATTTCTACTGCAAGAAGTATTTATAAATTATAACTGGTATAACAATTCACCAAAGTAGTTGCAACAAAAAGAAAATCATTAGTATGTTGCCCAGCACCGACTTCATCAAGATCATGATAAACATGTATGCAAACAACTGAAGAAGAGCAGCAAACAACCTATGTTAGCCTCAACATATGTTGTACGTAGCTGAAGAAGACCCGTGATAAACATGTATGCAAAACACCTATTACATCACTACTCAATTTTACGAGACATATACCAAGTTTCTACAACTGAAGAAGAGCAGCAAACTACATATGTTGTATGTAGCTAAAGAAGAGCAGCTGATGCTAATCTGACAACTGTGTAACAAGAACACAACAAAACTTCACTGATCATCATGGGTAAACATTGAGAGCTTGATAATTGAATCTAAACAATTTGGACTTTATTGGAATTGAATTGATGTGCAAAAACTATGGCATTTGCAGGACACATGCTATGTACTGCAACCAAGATAGACATGCTTGGCATTTTCACAAACATCTTATGAGCAATCACAGTAGTGCCATGATCCTAAGATTAAGCAAGATTTCCCTAATCTCCAACCAGCAAGATTTCCCTAATCTCCAACCCAGCATAGAGTTGGTCGAACCTACCAGCAACAATGGCATGGACACATGGTTGTAGATGCACTTCCTTGTTCGTGGCAATATGCTGATACGTATGGGTGGCCGGCGTGGCGGGCGGTTGTCGCGGATGGCGGCGAAGTCCTCAGCGATCTCGTCCCTGGTGAGTGCGGCGCAGGCCCTCTTCCTCGGTAGGGCCGGCGGCGACGCGAGCGGCTGCAGTGGGTGCCCTCCACCCCCCAACATGAGATATGTTTACTTTTAGTACAAAACCATGACGGAATAAAAAGAGACTGTGAACTATCAATTTACTTATATTCACTCTTAATTTAGTACAGATGTTCAGGATCAAACTTCACATGCTTTGTATAGAACTATCAATGTCCAAAGAAACTATAAACAAAATGACTTTAGAATAAAACACACAGACGTGACCTTAAACTGTAGTTAACTATGGGAGCCTTAAAATTTGCAGGGCTCGGTAAATTGAGGCCCCTCGGCCACGTTCCTGTGTGGAAGGATGAAAGACCACCGAGTATTAGAGTTGAGGATGACCTTAAAGTGTATGCAAATTTACCCGGTTAGTCTAACGCATAGCGTCAGGAATTCCATGGTTTCAGATTTAGAGATGATTCTAAACTCGAGCAATATATCAAAGACCATCCCTGTGCAAAGCTTCAAGTAAATTTTGTGTAACTATGAGCTAGGCATCTGTTTTAGAGATGGGGAGCGGCGCGCGCTGCGGCGGCGGCCCGTGGGATCCAGTGAGGACGATGGCGCGGGTGCACGACATGGGCGCGCACGGCGAGGACTACAATGCGGGCGACGGCTGCGGGTCGGGGATGGTCGTGCGGCGGCGGCGCGGCTTTTTGTGGAGCGCTGTGGAGTACGGGTTGTGCGGAGAGGATGTCGGGATGGGAGCGAAGGCAGGCAGCGCCACGGAGACACGGCGGCGGCGGTGGCGTCTTGTGCGCGCATGGGCGTGAGTTTTAGACCTCCGCGATTGCCGCGAGGCCGAGGGCGAGGGCAGAGAGAGAGGTCGGAGGATTGCTGGGACCGGCGTGATTGGTGCCTAGATCTTGCGATGGGGAGGCGGGGAAGTTTCGCGCGGAAGGCGGGGGAGGGAGCGGACTCGCATGCGGTTTCGCGAGTGGTAGGCGGACGACACAAAACAAATGTCGCACAAAAAAGTGTCCACGTTTTGCTCTTTTTAATTGTAGGAGATAGCTGAGGCAGTGGTCAATTGCTTGGTTCAGTTTTTGGCCTCTCTTTATACCTATTCTATTTTGTGTGCTCCGGCTCCACCAACGGAAGCTACTGTTTATTGAAATCACCTCTTATTTATGAAATTTGTGGTGGCGCTGTGCAAACACGATAGACAGCGAGCCAAGAAGAGATTTTGCCTCCTCTTAGGTATTGTGCTCATACTTGCTTATGATCATTGCTTGTGATGTCAATAACACATAGTTGTGCAATCTGAGCTTCTGTTTATTGCCCGTGAAGTGATAGATATATTCTTCTTGATTCTACGCTCGTTATCACTGTCCGTCATCATTGCCTGTGATGTTAGGTTATACACTCTTGGTTTTGAGCACACACCCTATTTCCAGAGATAGCATTGTCAGACACTTTGCTTGTTTGTGCTCACTTTTGCTTCTCCTGTTTCTTTCAATTCTCGCTGCAACTATGCGCACTGCTCATATAGGTTCGGTTTAACAGACACATTCTTTTTCAAATTTCCCGATAGTGTCATTAGCTTTCTAATACCAATATTACCTATACATGATATATCCCCACAAAGCTACATGTACTGCTCTGGTTACAAGGGAACTGTTTATCAAAGATTCAAAATATATTCTATTATATTGGTTGTTGTATCAGTTTGTTTTGGCTTTTGGGGTAAAGCAAATTTAGGTTCCAGCTTTTCATAAAAAAATGATGATAGTGGAGGGTTTTCCAAAGGTGAATTGAAAATCATGAAACGAGGTACGTACTTCTCTCCGATTACTGCAATGATATATTGATTCTGATTGTTTGTTAACACATTTTGATTGTTTGTTAACACCTTCTGAATGATTTGTTGGCAACTACAGTGTACCATGTTCCTCTTTTCCTCCGTTAACCAAAAATGTAGAGAGGACCTATCATAATCCTTTTTGTCCAATAGCGATTTATTGCTCTTTGACTAAGAAAGAGTAGTGTGTTACCTCCATGATCATTTGGCAATCTTAACAGTCCTGCAACAATAATGATGTATATGGCATCGCTACATTGACAACTTACCGAAACAGCTTCCTGCCAACCTGTGTCAGATCACAGGTAGATGGCAGTCCAGTGAGCAGAGTAACAAAGATATCACATTCAGCCTGCCTAAGATTGCATCATATGGTGACATTGCCACAGTCCACCCTCGCGACGGGACAAAGAAAACTACTTTAGCAGCACAAACATGAAAAACGCTGAAACTATTGTTTCCTCATATATTCGAAAGAGACTACAGCCCAACAGGTCCTACTGCTTAGCACAAAGATACCTGACTTGAAGCTTCGTCAATTCCAAACAGAAGTGATCAAGGTTAGTCCTCAATCTCTACATATCTCCGTCTAACCAAACGAAATCAAATCAAATTCACAACTATATCAAATTCTAATATCACAATTGTTTCAGTTATGAAAGCAGCACAAAGAAACCTGACTTCAAGCTTCCTCAACTCCAGGCAAAAGAGATCAAGGTTTGTTCTCAATCGCAGATCTTTTAAAGCCTCATATGTCTTTTGCTATGGGAACAAGATCACTTTGGGTTGCTTTTGGACATGATGTACTCCATTTGTCTAGCACTACTGCCTCAAATAAGTGAACAAATGGTCTCATGCATTGTATACATGTTCAACTAATACGAATGCTCATTGCAGCGCATTCACCAGCGGCTCGCGGCCAGTCGGGGCGGCGGCGTCGGTTGGGTTGGCTGCGGCGGCGGCCTGCCGCCGGCGAGGCTCCCCAGGTGTCGCGCCTCCACGGGAGAGAGCCAGCCAGAGAGAGAGAGAGGAGAGAGAGAGAGAGAGAGAGAGAGAGAGAGCGAGCTGCTCCTGAGGAAGAGGAGCTACCACGAGTGCTGCCGCCACTGCTCCTGCTCACGTTGAGGCTTCCGTGAGCCTCTGCCACTCGTGCCCACGGCGTGGCGGCGGCCTGCTCCGTTTCGCGGTGCTGAGCGGATCTCATTTCCCCGTCGAAAGCCACCCTCCCATCAGGTTGAGATTTCACAATCCAAATCCATCTTTATTTCTTTTTCCCACCATCCAAACAAGGGATAAAATCTATATCCCACAAGCTATTTCCCTATCCCAGTGCCCATTTTCCACCAACCAAACGGCACCTAATTAAAAAACCGTCACCGGTTGTTTAACACAGCTCTGATATACGTTTGCACACGGTCAACCCATTTTGCCAGCAACCTAAGGTTGCACATGGATCCAGCGCGTAACTATTCCCATGCCCATTTAGCTAGGATCGCTAGTGGATATGGTGTGATCCTTTCTAACTTTTTTTAAGAGTCCAAAAGACCAAAAGCAAAGGAGGTAGAACCAATAATCATACACACGACAAGATCACTTAAAAATAAACAAGCAGCACGTATATATATATATATATATACGAATGGATATGATCGACAAGCAACGTATGCCTAACTTACCAGAGCTAACATTATCTGCATGCGAGCCAATCAGGCTGCTCACCCCCTCGGCGACGTTGGGCAGTGTATCTATAAATACCTCTCGGCTACAAGCTTCATTCCAAACACACAACACCACCTCGCTCTCGCTAGCCACCTCAAACCATTCTAGTAGGAGGAGGACATGGCGAAGCTCAACGCCACCGTCGCTGCTGTGCTCGTGCTGCTCGCCTTCCTCGCCGGGCAGTCGGTTGCCGGGCGCTACTACTACGACAAAGTCCAGGACAAGGTGAGGAAGGAAGTGGAGAAGGCCATGGCAAACAATCCCAGCATTGGCCCCGCCCTTGTTCGCTTGGTCTTCCATGACTGCTGGGTCAATGTAAGTATACACACATTGCTTGCTTGCATTGCTTGATTATATACTCCTATATTAGGACGACATCATCACTGCATTATATTGTACGTATATTGCACGAGCTCCGGTCCAAAACACAAGACTCACTCGATCGATAATGCTGTCACATTTTACTAGGGTTGTGATGGCTCCGTGCTCCTAGACAAGACGCCCACCGACGGCACCAACACCGAGAAGAAGGCGGCCAACAACATCGGCCTCGCGGGCTTCGAGGTGATCGACGCCATCAAGCAGAAGGTCGGCACCGACGCCTCCTGCGCCGACATCGTCGCCTTCGCGGCGCGCGACGCGGCCGACATCCTCAGCGGCGGCAAGATCTTCTACACCCTCCCCGGCGGCCGCAAGGACGGCGTCGTCTCGTCCGCTGCGGCCGCGGACGCCAACCTCCCGCACCCCAACTTCGACTTCGACCAGCTCAAGGACAACTTCGACGCGACCAGCCGAGGCAGGAGCTTCACCGTCGAGGAGCTTGTCGTCCTGTCCGGCGCGCACTCCATCGGCGTCGCTCACCTCTCTTCCTACCAGGACCGCCTAGGGGGGCCCGACTCCACGCCCGTCGACTCCGACTACCAGGCGGCGCTTAACAAGACAACGCCTCTGGCGTTGCTCAAGAGTGGGCAGAACCCGACGGTGCCGAACAACGCTCGCGACGGGAGCGACGCTTTCCAGAAGGACGCTGCCTACGACCCCGTGGCCATGGGGGTGAACCCGAAGAGGGGCGTCCTCGACAACAGCTACTACCACAACAACCTCGTCAACAAGGTGCTCTTCAAGTCCGACTGGGTGCTACGCACGGACGGCTTCGCCGCCAGCAAGCTGGATGAGTACAAGAACAACCCGGCGGAGTGGAATTCCGACTTCGCCGCCGCCATGGCCAAGCTCAGCAGCCTGCCAGCCCAGGGAAACAAGTTGGAGATCAGGAAGAACTGCAGGGTCCCCAACCAGTACTAGACGATCGAGGCAGTCGCTTCAGCCTTCAGCGACGACAACTGGACATGGAACCTGCTACATGCATCAACTATAAATAATCTGTATTTTTAGCGTATCCCTTTAATTCCTAAATTAAATTTAATTAATCGTTTACTAGCTACTTACGGCAGGTGTACGTTATTATCAAAGCATATGTTCTATCTATATCTGTACAATGATAATAATGATGATGATGTTATTAGTGTTATTGTTGTTGTTGTTAAAATAAGATTTATTTTTCTTCCATTACATCTAGAAGAGTGTTTGACATATGCTCCTCCATAACGAAAATAAGGTAGCAATCGTCACCTCACATGTTGGACAAGTGGACCCAACATTCAACTCTGGCAATAGGAGCACATCCTATTTGCAATAGGTCTCTCCGTGCTAACGGACCCTTACCCAATGTACAACTTTAGACCCCTTCAAAAGCGCAATTAGTTCAACTTTGTAATCGGCTTTGAACTTCTGGTTTATAAACGTCGGCCTAGGCACTGAGCCATCCCTAACATCAACTTTTTCCAATGGGTCAGCCCATGTGAAACCTTGGCCCAACTTATTGAGCTCATCAAAATCAATAGCCTCACAGACATCAGTCTTAGAAGTCCGATACTACTCAAGATGATGTTTGAACCATTCCAAATTAGCATCCATTAATGATTACATGATGACATTGAGCCGATTATCAATTGGCTTCAAGGAAACAGGTACAAACCCTCTCTAGTGACACTAATAAGTGAACATCAGCAAGGTCCGGACCAAACAAGCAGGCAACGTCATGATGTCCCTCGAGTGAATGAGCATCAGCCATGGCAACGTCATTATGCCCTCCGAGTGAAGGAGCATCTCATGGACAATTTCAATATCGTCCCCAACCCACTAGATAAGGAACTAGTGCAAGCTAGAAGGTACACACTTATTGGCATGGATCCAAATGCACCCAAGTATCAAGTTATAGCTACCTTGCACCTCCGCGACGAAAAATGTTGTGGCCAAAGTTTTGCTTCCAACACTACTAGGAATATCCACTTCTATGACGAATAGCTTTCGTCACTGAAGAAGTCCAATTCGTCATAATTTCTGTTTTATCATGAATTTATGATAAAAACGGTTCGTCATAAAAGTCGCGTCGTACTTGAACTTTTATGACGATTTTCGCAAATCGTCATAGAAGTGGCTTGATCTGTGACGAAAACAGAACGTCATAGAACTATTTTGGCATGCGTGGCATGACGGCTGCCACGCTGGTGGATGCTTCCATTGGAGATGCTTTTCATATGTACATGCTATAACCGGTTGCATTAGAGATGGTTAAGGTACGTGTCACATTCTTGTTGTAGAACGTGGCCATCTCTAGTTATTGCACATTTCATGTTCTTACTGGACCACGTGTCGGGTTTACATTTGTTCCATATATCGGTTTTTTTATGGGCACACGTGTCGGTGTTGCGGTTGGATCACGTGTCACTTCTTCATTGGACCATGTGTCGTATTTTTATTGGTCCACGTGGCGTTTCTTATTCGACCACGCGTCACGCACGCAAGACTGTCCGGTCCACGTTTTGCATTTTATTTGGCCATGTGGCTTGATATATCCTTCCACGTGTGAAAGGTCCTAATATGGCTAGAGGGGGGGGGGTGAATAGCCTATTTAAAATTCTACAAATCAACTAGAGGAATTTGATTAGTAAGACAAATAGCGAAATACAAACTTACTCTAGCTCTACGAGGGTTGCAAGCCACCTATCCAACAATTCTAGTTCCAATGATTACTAGACACACAACTTGCTATGATACTACTCACTAAGAGCTCTTAATCTTGCTACACTAAAGAGCTCCACTAGAAGAACTTAAATAAAAAATCAAGCTCACAATTCTAATTACACTAAAGAGCTTGCTACAACTAGTTTGCAAGAATATAAAAGAGTGAGTAGGGTGATTATACCGCCGTGTGGAGAGGGATGAACCAATCACAAGATGAAGATGAAATCAATCACCGGGAGAATACCAAAGAGCAAGTGACAATCAATTTTCTCCCGAGGTTCACGTGCTTGCCAACACGCTACGTCCCCGTTGTGTCGACCAACACTTGGTGGTTCGGCGGCTAAGAGGTGTTGTACGGACCTCGTCCACACAATTGGACACCGCAAGAACCTACCCACAAGTGAGGTAACTCAATGACATGAGCAATCCACTAGAGTTACCTTTCGGCGCTCCACCGGGGAAGGTACAAATCCCATCACAATCATCGAAGATGGCCACAAACAATCACCAACTCGTGCCAATCCTCCACCGCCGCACCAAGCCGTCTAGGTGGTGGCAACCACCAAGAGAAACAAGTGAAATCCCAGCAAAACACGAATACCAAGTGCCTCTAGATGCAATCACTCAAGCAATGCACTTGGATTCTCTCCCAATCTCACAATGATGATGGATCAATGATGGAGATGAGTGGGAGGGCTTTGGCTAAGCTCACAAGGTTGCTATGTCAATGTAAATGGCCAAAACGAGTGAGCTTGAGGCGGCCATGGGGCTTAAATAGAGAGCCCCATGAATAGAGCCGTTGGGCTCCTCACTGCACTAAACACAGGCCAACCGGATGCTCCTGTCATATTGACCAGACGTTGGACCTCAGCGTCCGGTCGTGCGATGTGCGCCACGTGTCAACTGCTTCAAATGCCGATCGCCCGATTTCAATGGTCAAGTGATGACCGGACGCGCCAATTAGAAAGTGATCGGACGCTGGACCTCAGCGTCCGGTCGTTTCCAGTAAGCATCCAAACGCGAAAATTCATGACCGAACGCGTCCGGTCATGCTCGACCAGACGCACCCAGAGTCCGGTCACTCAACGTTTCCTCTGTGTGCCTCACGTCAGTGTACGTCAGCACTAACTGGACGCACCCTGCCAGCGTCCGGTCATAACACCGAAACGCGCACCCTTTGCTTCCACTAACCGAACGCGCCGGTCCAACCGAGGCCAGCGTCCGGTCACTTACAGTGACCTCCAATTTTTTCTGTCTAGGGCACCGGTGGCACCGTCGGACTGTCCGCACTCTACGGGTGGACACTCCGCCGGTCGAGTTCCTTACTCTTGCTCCCAAACTTCACCACCCTTGATCAAGTGTGCCAACCACCAAGTGTATCACCTTGTGCACATGTGTTAGCATATTTTCACAAACATTTTCAAGGGTGTTAGCACTCCACTAGATCCTAAATGCATATGCAATGAGTTAGAGCATCTAGTGGCACTTTGATAACCGCATTTCGATGCGAGTTTCACTCCTCTTAATAGTACGCCTATCAATCCTAAATGTGATCACACTCTCTAAGTGTCTCGATCACCAAAACAAAATGGCTCCTATCATTTATACCTTTGCCTTGAGCCTTTTGTTTTTCTCTTTCTTCTTTTCCAAGTTCAAGCATTTGATCATCACCATGGCATCACCATAGTCATGATCTTCGTCATTGCTTCATCACTTGGAGTAGTGCTACCTATCTCATAATCACCTTGATAAACTAGGTTAGCACTTAGGGTTTCATCAATTAACCAAAACCAAACTAGAGCTTTCAATCTCCCCCTTTTTGGTAATTGATGACAACCCTTACACAAAGATATGTATTAAATTTTAATTGACTCCATGTTACTTGTCCAAGCATATTTACCATGTGTAAAGGATTATGGACAAGTTTCATGAATTCCAAATGGTAGCAATTGCTCCCCCTATGTATGTGCTACAAGTTTGGATTGAAGCTTACACATATGCTTAGATAGGAAATATATGAGACAATTTCTACCAAATGATGCTAAGGTATAAGAGATGGACCTTTGAAGCGTGATACCAATCGGAGTGCACCAATATACCATCCTTAGCACCATTAGTAACTAGACATACACAAAAACTAGAATACCCCATGAGTTCAACATTACAAGTAAGGGTCTAGTTTCCATAAGATAAACATAAGTCTAGTTACTTTAGCATGATATCACTTGGAAATACTACTTTAGAAATGAAATCACTAGATAACCTATACATGCTAGATTTTCATTTCATCATTTAAGCCTAAAACTAACATACACCACACAAGCATGGATATTGAAATTTTAAAACTTGTGCCATGCAAGCAAAACATATGAAATGCACATTCAAATGCAGCATACAAGTTTATGAGCTTGCTCCCCCTATTTGTGTGCATCTTTTGATTGATCCCCCTTACAATGTCATTCCATTTGTGAATTTCTCTCCCCGTACTATAGTTTATGAATTTGCGCCTTCTATCTTACTATCTCTTACTGTCTTTGTGAATTTCTCTCCCCCTTTGTCAACAATTAGCATGAAATTTTAAAACTTGTGCCATGCAAGCAAAACATATGAAATGCACATTCAAATGCAACATACAAGTTTATGAGCTTGCTCCCCCTATTTGTGTGCATCTTTTGATTGATCCCCTTTGCAATGTCATTCTATTTGTGAATTTCTCTCCCTGTACTATAGTTTATGAATTTGCGCCTTCTATCTTACTATCTCTTACTATCTTTGTGAATTTCTCTCCCCCTTTGTCAACAATTAGCATAAAAGGTGGGGTCAAATTATAGATAGGTTGGGGTGAAACCATGTGAAATGAGGATCATTTTTCCAATTTTGTTCAATCTAGATTATTTGCAAAAATATTTAACTTGGTTTGATCCAAGGACAAGCTTCTTCACACCTCTAAGTAAGGGTTATCTTGTACCATGTTGAGTTAAACACTTATATCTTATTTTCTAGATCAAACACTAGGTTTACAAGCCCACAAACATGTCATATGCTACCACTAGACCAAATTAAGCATACAAGCAATAGTGGTACCATACAAGCATCAAATTTATTTGATTTTCATGAATGAGCCTATTCAAATGTGAAATATATCTAGATGCACTAAACATGTCCTTAGCAAGGATGTATGCCATGCCAATCAACTTTTACCTTGGATTGCTCGAAGGAGAGGCATGTCATATAAGTGGGGGTGCATCAACACATATTGGAGAAGTCAAGTATGTTCAATTCATTCCTTAGCTTGCAAAACCTCTTCTCATCAAGGTGGCTTGGTGAAGATATCGGCAAGTTGATCTTCGGTGCCCACACTCTCTATGCAAATGTCCTCTTTTTGTTGATCTCTTATGAAATGATGGCGGACATC